ATGGAATATTACTCAGCCATAAAAAAGAATGAAATAATGCCATTTGCAGCAACATGGATGGACCTATAATAGAGCTTATAATACTAAGTGACGTTAAGTCAGAAAGACAAATACTATATGATATCACTTATATGTGGAATCTAAAATATGACACAAATGAACATACTTACCAAACAAAAACAGACTCACAGGGCTTCCCTGGTGGCGCAATGGTTAAGAATCTGCCTGCCGATGCAGGGGACGCGGATTCAAGCCCTGGTCCAGGAAGATCCCACATGCCAAGGAGCAGCTAAGTCCAAGCACCACAACTACTGAGCCTGCGCTCCAGAGCCCACGAGCCACAACTGCTGAAGCCTGCGCGTTTTTTAGCCTGTGCTCCGCAACAAGAGAAGCCACCACAATGAGAAGCCCTCGCACTGCAACGAAGAGTAGCCCCCGCTTGCTGCAACTAGAGAAAGCCCGAGCACAGCAACAAAGACCCAACACAGCCAAAGATAAATAAATAAAATCAATAAATTTATTAAAAAGAAAAACAGACTTACAAACATAGAGAACAGACTTGTGGTTGCCAAGGGATGGTCAGCTAGGGGAGGGAAGGATTGGGAGTTTGGGATTAGCAGATGTAAACTACCACATATAGGATGGATAAACAAGGTCCTACTGTATGGCACAGGGAACTATATTCAATATCCTATGATAAACCATAATGGAAAAGAATATGAAAAAGAATATGTATATGTATAACTGAGTCATTTTTCTGTACAGCAGAAATTAAACACAACATTGAAAATCAACTATACTTCAATAAAATTTAAAAAAATAAAAGGGGTTTCTGTGTGCTTGGATACCAAGAGAAGAGCATGCATATGGGAATTTTTTACTCAATTTTCATAATCCTCTTTTAATGGTTATTGTTTGCCAACTTGTAGAAGGTGTCACTAACTTCCCAAGGTTTTCTTAAGCATCTCTTCTCTGTGCTCCTAGACCATGTATCTCCCCCATTAACTACCATACTGTAGTTTCCTGCGACTGATCTAACCTATCTATCACACACACACACACACACACACACACACACACACACACACACTAAACAGAAAGCTCTCAAAAAACAAGGTGTAATTCGCTTTGGTGTTCCCAAGGCCTAGCAGAGACATGGAAATTGCTCAGCATAGGTCTGATGAATTAACGAAGGGAAAAAATTAGCCACCCATACCTATCATGAGTAGTTCCTTCTAATGACCACCTTTGGACTTTCAGAGTAGGTGGTGTTCTGTTTGTGTCATCCTCATAAAAATGTAGGCTGTGTCAGACCAGAGGTAGGTTTCTGACCCTGGGGGTATCTAAGTTTGGTGATGATGAGGTAGAAAGGATCAAAGCTCAGGGGGACTAGTTGGGCTAAATCCCCTCTAAAACAGAGAACACCAGAACTTTACTATCCCAGTCATTGCTAGAAAGCAGTTCTAATTCTGATTTTATTCTAGTAAGATAGGCAAGTGTTTCCTTTGCAAACGTTTGTCCTCTTCTTTCTGACTTTGCATGAGTATCCAAAGAATTCTTGTAGAGGTGGCAAATGGACTCCTTCTGTGCAAGATGAGAATTACAGCTTTAACACTTACTTCCTCTTAACGAGGACTCAGGAATCCTGAATCAAATTTCAAAGACCAGATGAGATGGACTTTGCTTTGTAATGTGTTTTTCTGCCTCATTATCCACACACCCTGCCCTTTTCTTTTCTCAATCATCTGTAATTAGTTTTCTGCTACGACCTGTTTAGAATAGTGGATGCATTTCCCTTGATCATCTACTTGAATATTATATCATTACTTCACATTTGATGAAACCTTGGTTATTCTAGGAAGGTTGGACACAGATGACCATGTTTTCTTATAGGGCAGTGGAGAACTAAGTTTTGAGGCTTGCCTCAACATAAAAATGTTGGGGCTTTTGACATTCTCCCAGCACGGCCTCTAACCCATTCTAAGTCACCTTCACTGTGTCTCTGTCAGAAGTCAAAGATCTGTGATCCCTGCCTCAACCCTGTTAAAAATAAGATGATATACTTTTTTTTTTGCGGTACGCGGGCCTCTCACTGTTGTGGCCTCTCCCGTTGCGGAGCACGGGCTCCAGACGCGCAGGCCCAGCAGCCATGGCCCACGGGCCCAGCCGCTCCGCAGCATATGGGATCCTCCCGGACCGGGGCACAAACCCACGTCCCCTGCATCGGCAGGCGGACCCTCAACCACTGCGCCACCAGGGAAGCCCAAGATGATATACTTTTAAAACCACATGCTGTATGGTGAATGATCACTGCATTGACTCTCTTGTACCTTTTCCTGTTCCCGTTCTTTTCCCTAATGCACATCCAAAGAAAATGGCCCAGCTGAATGTCAACCAGTGCAAGCAGAGGAAACTATTTTGCTACAGTTTTCAGATCCAGTGGGGATGTGGCCTAAAGGCCTCAGATGACTGAGGTCTCATCATTCTAAGATTATCCTGTGTTGTTTTTATGTTTGTAACTCTTTACTGTGCAAATCTCCAGGAAGAACAATGTTTCATTTTTCAAATCTGGTCACTTAATCGTTTAAACATAATGCTGTGTATACGTGATGTTTCCATCTACTGAGGGGATCTTATATAAATTATAACTCTCTCAAGCCCTTTTCGTATGGGAAGTTTTAAAGTCAGATTAGATCTAGATTGAGCTTTAAGAGGGGTCTTTCAATGGTAAAAATAGCAAAGCATTTAAGGAAATGTTATCTACATATGAACAGTTCATATCTTCAAAGGATATTTCATTGTATCTAACATTCAACAATCCTGACCATTTCAGTAGGCCATGCACAGAAAATATAATCCTCCTTTCCCTATTTTATTTTTTCTGATAGTGATATCACAGACCAAAGGATCATTAATCAGGCCCTGGATTTTTTATTTTCTTCAGAGGAAAGTGTCGAGAGAAAGTACATGCTTTTAAAATCAGCTTATCACTGACAAGTCACTCCTTAGATTATTAAAGTTGCAAGAACTTCCACAAACATCATTTACTTCTTATAGAGAAAAAATTTGTTATGGTAAGAAGAGAATAATAATGTAAGTCTATTCAGAACTGTTGCAAGACATAACTCACAAGACACTATGCAGTAGTTTGCAAAACTGTCACTTCTCATTCGCTTGAGTTCCAAATCCCTACTTGGGTATATGAGCAAAATCTTTTGCTGCTTCTCATCTCTTTGGGGCCACAGGTTCTCCTTCCAGACTATCTGGTGCATTGTTTCTCAAGATGGTGTTTTGCAGAACACTGACCTTCAGGATGGTGGACAAGACCACACAGCACAGTGGTGGCAACCTCCGTGGGTATGGGCATGAGATATACGTGGATTACGACAAGGAGTGTATTGGACTCAGGACACTGATTAATCCAGGGCTGTTCACCTGATGCCAACAACATTTTTAAAGCAGACTTTAATGCACACATAGTCCTAGCTCTGGTATTTCCACCCCTATGATTTTAAATGTGACCTTCTCTAATCCTTGGTCTCATTATTTATAAAATGGACAGATAAAAATAGTCCCTGTTGCACTAGTTGAGAATATGAGATGAGGCATGCTGATTTTTTTGTTCACCTATTTGTTTACCTGTTTCTTCTCTGTCTTCTCTTTACCTTACTCCCAAGTAAAAATCAGGGACTTTATCTTGTTCATGGAGGTATCACCAGTGCCAGGAACAATGTGGTCACATAGCAGGAGCTCGCCAACGTTGTTCTGAAGAAATGAATGGCTGAAAGAATACAAGAGAAGTCCTTGGCATGATTCCTGGCAAATAGTAAGTACTCAATAAATATCAGCATAAAAACCAACCTAGTTCTCCAAAATGTTTCTCAAATAAAGAAGCTTGTGTAATATATATTGTAAAGACTCTGAAATAGCCTTTGGGGAAGAAATTTGCATAATTTTGGCTCCATTTACCAATCTTATTTGGCCGCAAAACCCCCTCTTCTCAACTATACTTGTTAATTAATATTCTGCAACATTATTGTAACATTGAACACACTTTGGGCAATAATGAATTAGTTCAGTATCCCTATTTTAGAGGTAAAGAAACTGAGGTCTAGATATTAAAGGGTTTGCCTAAGTGAAGTAGCCAGGAGCAGCAATTCCAGAGCTAGAAGCAGATGTTCCAAGTTCCAGGCCTGCATTCTCTCCCCTAGGCCAGTGTGTGGGCAATGACATTGTACTCTGGAATTAGAAGGTATTGGATTCAAATCCCACCTGCATTGTCTAACACTGAGGTCTGTATCAGACATTGCTGGTGCCCCACCTCATAGCCTCTCTTCTCTCAGTGGGGCTGCTTTTGACACCTGAGCGTGGTATACCTGTTGGAACTGGCCCCCAGGAATGTGTAACCTGGAAGTTCTCAGGGATTAACACCCCACTGAGCAACCCTTGACCAATGGGGGATGGTCACTCATGGGTAAGTGCTTTCCCTTTCTACCCGCCCAGGCAGATAACTCTGAGGTGCGGTCTGTGTGTCTCCCTTGAGTGTCCCTGTGGGGCGGATCCCAGGCGCCCGTATCAGTGGCATAGCCCACAACTGGATAGGAGTACAGGCGAACTCTCCACATTCCTAGCTTTCCTCCTTTCTAGTCATGCTGCCTCTTCCCAGGTGTGTTACTCTTTTTTTCTTTAATTAATTAATTAATTTTTGGCTGCATTGGGTCTTCATTGCTGCACGCGGGCTTTCTCTAGTTGCGACGAGCGGGGGCTAGTCTTCGTTGTGGTGCGCAGGCTTCTCATTGCGGTGGCTTCTCTTGTTGCGGAGCATGGGCTCTAGGTGCGTGGGCTTCAGTACTCGTGGCTCGTGGGCTCTAGAGCGCTGGCTCAGTAGTTGTGGCGCAAGGCATTAGTTTCTCTGCGGCATATGGGATCTTCCCTGACCAGGGCTCGAGCCTGTGTCCCCTGCATTGGCAGGCGGATTCTTAACCACCACGCCACCAGGGAAGTCCCCAAGGTCCGGTACTCTTTTGCTTACTATCGAAAAGAGCTGTGTCGTCTCTTGTGAGCCAGGTTTCACACCAAAGGTGGCTGCGATCTAGCAGGCGGAAGTGTAAAAGAGGGAGTGACATCTAAATATAAGTTGGACTAGAGTGGAGGCCTCTGAAAGATGAGAGGTGCTCCAAGGCTCAAAGCCCTGTTGTTTTTTTCTTCCTGAGTTTTCAAGGATTTTGAGAAGTCATAAGAACAATGTGTTTAAAAACATACTCTGTGTTTTTGACACCTTCTGGTTTTCCTGTTATGCTGAATAAAAAGAGGGAGCTACTCTTGGTGTGGGAAAGCAGTGCAATCTGAGGTGGTTACCATGCTCCTTTAGCAACGCTGGTTAACCTACCAGGGCACGAGAGGTTCAAGCTTTAAGCTTACTGCCCTGCTCTTGACCCCTAAGGCAAGAAGGCGAGGCAGTGTGGCTGTTAGACTGTGGAAACAAACAGACCCCAAAGTCTCAGTTTATTTCCTGCTTATGCAATAATACAATACAAGGGTTTCAGTTCAGCAATTTTCTTCCATATTATGACTTAGGGACCTGGGCTCTTCCACACCGTGGCTCTGTTGTTCCCTGGAGCCCCGTCTGTCATCTGCATTCAGCTGGCAGAAGAGGAGAGTGTGCAGAAGGCTCTCTCTGCCCACAGGTGACACTCAAAACCAAAGTTCATACTCCACTGGCAAGAACGAGTCACATGGCTCCCGCCCCCGGACAAGGAGGTTAGGAAATGTGGAATATAAATTGGCGGGAGCAGCCAGCCATCTCTGCCACAAAGGTACAGTTGTCAAGAATGCCAGTTCTAGAGCCCAACGGACCTGAATCCAGGCCCCAGTTCTACCACTCACTAGCCATGTAGACAGGGGCACGTTATGTCACCTTTGAGATGCTTTCCTCCTCTGTAAAATGGGGATAATGGAAGAATCTGTCTCACAGATTTGTCATGGGGTTCAAGCAAGATCATGCACGCACAACTCCCGTCACAGTGCCCAGCACTTAGTGAGCCATCAGCAAACGGTGTTTGCATTATGAACTGTGAAGAAATGCCACCATCTCACTCAGTGAGATGTGAAAGTTTCCTTCGGTTTGAAAGAAACAGAGACATATACAAGTTTTTTCAGTTAATTTGAATTTTTTAAAGAGATACAAGGAAACAAGAAACAGCAGGAAAAAACCTGAGCTAGAACATCACATAGGTGATGAAAAGGACTCGAATTGGGGGCAGTATTCCTGGAAGCTCAGGAGTACCTCTCAGGAGGGACTTTGGCTGCCCCACCCACAAGACTCACCTCCTCACTGGTCCCGCATCTTTCTTTCCTGCTGCTTCTGATGGTCTCTCTGTTCTTCTCAGCACCTCCTGGTTTCTTCTTCCTCACTACTTGTGTGAGCTGTTCTCTATGTATCTTGGCTTCTTTACCATTGTGTTTTCTGCAAGCCTCTGTCTATGTCTGTGTTCATACACCCTGAGAGGATCTGTTGGGTAGCCCTTACCCAATAAAGGGCACCCATCACTGGTCAGAACCCAGAGCCAGTCCACCTAGGCTATCAATGGCTCTTTATGGTGCCTACAGTGAATCTCTGACTCAATCATCTATGTCTTTGGCAGTGGGAATATATCATACAAACATGGTGTCCTGGTGTAAGAAAATGTTTCATGCTTCCTTGTATAGAAAGGAAGAAACTGTGGTTGGAGCCAGCACTCAGAGTATGAAAATAGGACAAGTCATGAACATTTTCCCTGGTGAAAATCTTCAAATGTATTATCTGCCTTCAATTTGCTGTGGATTAACTTGGTTTCTCAAATCTTATGAATGAAAGCTTAATAGTGAAGTATTCAGTCAATTCACTTAACTGGTATCCCTGGTTGAAGTTTGTCTACATTTATCCATCTTCCATACTGCCATTAGAGTTCTGTCCCCATATAAATCTGATTATTTTACTTTCCTGCTTAAAAATCTAAATTGCTTTCTTTCTACCTGTGAGTTAAGCTCCAACTTCTTAGCCTGGTATATCAGGCCTTCTAGATGCTGATACCGTCCCCTCCACCATCCTTCCACTAAGGCCTCAACACGCTGCATTTTCTCCATTCTCTTTCACACTTTTGTGACCACGTATATGCTGTTCTCTCCTAGGAATTCTGTTCCCCACCTCATCACCACCTGGCAAATGCCCATTTCTCCTTAAGGCCCACTCACCTGACCCCTTTTCTCTGAAGCTTTCCCTGGAGCTGCCAGTCTCCGCCTTCTCTCACCACCACCATACCCCTATGCCTGGGTGAAATCAGCTACCCCTTTTCCTGATTCCGATAGCACGTAAACATACCTCTATGGTGGTGTTTATTATTTTACATCCTGGTTTTCCAAGAGTCAGTCTCCCAGGCACAGCTGTGAGCCTCAAAAGCAGAGAACATGTCTGATTCATCTTTTACATTCCCAGGGCCCAAGAGAGAATCCTTCTCATTTAGCACGCAATACCCAGAAATGTTGAATTTTGTTGGAATTCAAAACGCTGACACCACAGAAGAATCTGGAATATGGAAACAAAATCCACTCATTCTCTTGGTGTGTTTCTCATTATGCAGGATCTTTACTTCTCAAGGGTTATTTTACGGTGGACCACATGCAGTCTACTTCATAGAGTATGAAAGAGAAATAAGTCTACATCTTCTATAAAGTTACATGTTGCCAGCTTCGATTCTTATTTAAGATCCAGGAAAAGTGTACGATGTTTTATAAGTCATATGATTCTCAAACATCCTCTCTTATGCTTTTTCTCTTAATATATGTGTCATCATCTGGGGAGCAATGAAGTCACCAAGGTACGTCAACTGGAGACAAGGACTGAAATGATGAAATGTCTCATTCTCCACATGTGGACACAGACCCTCTCTGGGCTTTTGAAAACTAACCTCTCATGACCAGACCTCCTTTCTGCAGAGGGACACTTCTACTTTGGACTGTTTCAGAGGAGTTGGCATTTGGTAATGTGTGTGGGGCAAGTATGGTTGTCGAAATGGTGGGAGGGTGCTTCTGGCATTTAGTGAGTGGGAGACAGGAATGCCAGATACCTTGCAATGCATGGTCAGTCATGAAAATCGAATATTGTTCCACCAACAATAATAACCCTGCAGCTGAGAACCACTGAGTTAAAGGATATGTTAAGCCCTTAGTTGAGAACCATTGAGTTAACCATTCATATGTTTCTTATTTTTATTTATTTATTTTTGGTTGCATTGGGTCTTCATTGCTGCACGCAGGCTTTCTCTAGTTGTGGCGAGCGGGGGTTACTCTTTGCTGTGGTGCGTGGGCTTCTCACTGCGGTGGCTTCTGTTGCAGAGCATGGGCTCCAGGGTGCGCAGGCTTCAGTAGTTGTGGCACGTGGGCTCAGCAGTTGTGGCTCGTGGGCTCCAGAGCACAGGCTCAGCAGCTGTGGCACACGGGCCCAGTTGCTCCGCAGCATGTGGGATCTTCCCGGACCAGGGAGCAAAGCCGTGTCCCCTGCATTGGCAGGCGGATACTTAACCATTGCGCCACCAGGGAAGTCCCAACGATTCCTATGTTTAAGTCTTCTTTTTTTTAGGTGAGATGAGAACAAATCATAAAAATCCAAAAGGAAGCTCCTGCCTCAGTTTAAAGACCTTTGATTTAAAGAAATTAATATTACTTTTCTTCTATGTGCTAAATATGGGCTTATATCACATTCACTGGAAACAGGAGACTCCTAAAAGAACCAACAGAGAAAGCATTTAGCATGCCCTCTTGCTTGTGAATATAAGACAGAATAGCAGAATAAAACAGCCCTTCCTTTGAAATGAATTTAATTTAATAAAACACCAGATTAAAGGTAAGACAGTCTCATCCTTATTACAAAATAACATGCAGAGTGAAAACTGAAACATGCACAATTTCATTAACCTTCCATTCATAAAGCAAAATGTAAGGAGAATGCCATTTTAACATCCAACTGAACAAGGCTATTTCCATGCCTTAAGTGTGCTTTGTGCATTAGCATTATTTGTCAGTGTGCCTACAGGGAATGGTGTGGAGGAAAAAATCCCAGTGCAACAAAGCATTTAGAAATATGTATCCTCTTAATCATCTATTTTTGGAATGAAGATATTTCCTTTTCACATAGTGTTTTGTTTGCATTGTTAAACATTCTTTTTATTGAAGTATAGTTAACATACAATATTATGTTAGTTTCAGGTGTACAACATAGCGATCTGACAATCAAATACATTATGAAGTGATCATCACAACAAGGCTGGTAACCATCTGTCACCGTATAAAATTATTACAGTGTGATTGACTGTATCCCTTATTACTCGGTTAAATATTCTTAGCAGCATATGAAAAAGCATGTCAGTTGTGGCTTAGTGATATTTATCAAATTTGGGATCTCTGTTAAATCTTGACCCAGGGTGTGCAGAATCATAGAACTTTACAACCTCAGCATTTCAAAAACCCAAGAGATCATTGAGTCCAGTTCCCTATTTTGCAGATGAGAAAACTGAGGCTCAGGGAGATGAGGGACAGTGGAGGTGATGCAGGGCCAGGGAGAAACAAGAGTGGATCTGGGTAGGTTTGCTTTGTGAGCTCTCAGCATCTTCCAGTTACAGACTGTCTTTAGTGAACCTCTAATTATTTTCTGAATAGATAACGGCACTTCAAAACCTTGCTCATTTTACATCCTTTTTTAGCTGTTAGTACCAATACAATGAGCTGAGGACCAAAAAGGAGAAAGAGAAATTGGGGCAAAACCTAACAACCACAATTTATAAAACTGTGAAACATAACCACCTAACATTTGAAACACATGTCATATTTCATTAAAATGTTGTGCTGCATTCAACTTCAGTCATTGCAGAAAGATGTAGCATCATTTACCTTCTCTGGCTCTAACGGGTTGGCACAAGGCAAGCAAGTCCTTTGGCACCCATCTCTTCCCCCTCACCCCCACATGTCATTTGCAAATGAATTGTATACCTAACATTTGCTTTGTGCAAGTGAATTTTAAATCCAGGAAACAATACAGTATATTTTAGTATATTATAACAATAGGGTTCAAGTTTAATGAGATTTGGATCTAATGTAGCAATTTGGAAGTCTCTTCAAGCTTATTAAAATGAGATTCTACTCAAGTTTACAAGCAGGTACAATAACACTTGGGATGTGACTATACCTTGCATTTGAGAGGCTTTTTTAAAGTACATGTAAAGCATATTGCTTGTGTAATATTCTCTTTTTCTTTCCAGGTTTTTATTTTATGACCACTGACACCAGAACAAATGTCCTTCTTTGACAGGTACTAGTGTAGCATTTTGGTAATTAGCTTAAATACAGCTGATTTGTCCTCCTGCTGCTTTCCCCCAAGGCGACCAATATCTGGAAGTTTGTTTTAAAGCCATTTAACGAGCAGGAAGAGCCATACCTGTTGCATCTGATTTCCTCCCCATTAAATCAGGATGAATAATTTAATAAGAACTGCTCATGCATAGACACTCCAGTGATTGGCTGAAAGATAAGACTACCAGGCTGCTGGCATTTTTGTTATTTCTGGCTGGTCTTGTCCAGAAGCTTGTTTTTCTTCCCCAGCGGCAGTAAGCCAAATGACCCTGTGACCTCAGACTTTTACCTACGCCCTTAGTGCACTAGGACCTTTCCCCTATGACAAAGGCCATTGTTCCTTTTGCAACCATGGCAGACACTTTTGGTTGGCCATGTAACTGACTTTCACAGCCCCTATCTTGCTATGGGTTGAAGTAGGCAGATACTTGTATTCCCAGCCTCCCTTGCAGCCAGGGTGGTCATGTGACCCAGGTCTAAACCATGGAGCATAAGGTAAGGCTGCTGAGGGGATTCTGGAAAATCTCTTCTTCCCTAATTGGGAGCTAGTTTGACACTGTAAGGGCTCTGGAGACAAACTGTCAGAGGGTGAGTCCCAGCTCTACTACTTCTTATCTGTGTGACCCTGATAAAGTTAATTGTACTCTCTTTGGTTTTTCCTGTGCTTTGGTTTGGTTTGCTTTGGTTTTTCTTATCTGCTGTAGAATTAAAGGAGTTAACACATAGAAATTACTTAGGCTAGTCCCTGAAATATAGTAAACGTTTAAAAATGTTAGTTATGATTATAATTAATAAACGATAGAAGGCACACGAAGAACATCTCTGCTAATAGCTGCCTTTGGAAGTGGCTTTGTGAGGTCACAATGCCTGGCGTTACGGCAGCCATTTTGTGATCCTGAGGGGAAGGTCAAGAGAATCGCAAAGACTCTGACTCAGAACCCTTGAATTCTGAAGATGCTGACACAAACCTGGAAAGCTTAGCTCAAGGTTTTCTTAAGTAAACAATAGACATTCTCATAGTGGATTTTCTGTTACTATCTACTGAACAATTCCATCTAATACTGTCACTATTTAATCCAGGGTTTAAGCCCTACCATCTCTGCCTCCAGCTGTTCTTCTGGCTTTGTTCACCATGTACTGCTTCCTCCTCTGGTGGAAATCTTTTAGGAGAGTCCCTCCTGACAGTCTGAGACTGACTTTCTTGAATCCTCTCTGGGAGCTCTCTTAAATTGACTGTGGGCTTGATAACAGCCTCCTGTGAGGGAATTAGGGTTTAATTGGGGAGGGGGAGTTATTAACCCATTACTCTACTTCATCTGAGCAAGATGGAGCTGTAAAATACACAGGCCCTCCTGGCTCCTGCAGGGCTGGCCACTGCATGCAAACATCTTAATAAGTCGCAGGGGTCCCAATCTGGCAACTCACAGGCTGTGTCTGAGGTGGCCTAGGGGTCTCTGCAATCTTTAGGCACCATGGCATGTAGGCTCTGATGGGAATTCAAGACCACCACATGTGTGGACATGGAGGGGAGAACTGAGCGGCCTCTGAATATCACATGGTGCTTCTTTGCCAAGATCACTATAAAGCTGCCCCACCTCTTCTCCCTCAGTGCGGTTATGTTTCTTCTGGCGAAGTTTGTTCTCCACGCTTCCTTGTTTTCCAGACCACTCCTGGGAAGACTATTATGAAAAACATTGAAGGCAATGATATTGTAGAATGACAGAGGAAGGAAGAAATACAGAAGTAGAAGCTCTGGGACTCACTCTTCTCTAGATAATCAGTTTCTTGCTGGGTGCCTTATATCTCTGTTTCTATATCCAACTTTGATGATAAGCCCCTAAGGATTTCTTTCAGTCTGTACATCGCTGAAAGTACTGCAAAATCACAGTAAAAGCAAGGATAATGAAAAGTGGGTCACTTTGTAGCCCACCTGCGTTCTGGGATTAAATCCAGCTCAGGTCAGGAACAAGCCGTAAGACTCAGTTTCTGTCACTTATCATGGGGCCTCAGTGAAATTATTTTCAATATTTCCAGTGCATTTATAGATGATTTTTCTATCACATAAAAGTCAGAATGAGAAGGAAGTTTCTCTGGGGAAATTTAGAAGAAAGAAAAGCACATTCATCTATTGCTGGAATCTGTTTTCATTTTTTAAGCATATGGGGGTATTTGTTTTTTAGC